ACAACAACAAAAATAAACAAATAGGGCTTAATTAAACTGAAAAGCCTACGAATAAGGAGACAACAACCAAAGCAGATAGACAACCTGCACAGTGGAAAAAGATATTTGCATATTTTGAATCAAACCAAAACTTGATAACTAGAATCTACAGAGAGCTCATATTAATCCATATGAAAAAGCCAACAATCCCATATATCAATGGGAAAGAGAGATGAATAGAACCTTCTCTAAAGAAGACAGATGACTGGCTAACAAACATATGAAAAAATGCTTATCGTTCCTAATTATTAGAGAAATGCAAATCAAGACCACCCTGAGATATCATCTAAATAACCCCAGCAAGAATGGCCCATATCACAGTGTCAAAACTGCATATGCTGGCGTGGATGTGAAGAGAAGGGAATACTCTTACACTGCTGGTAGGACTGCAAACTAATACAATCTTTTTGGAAGGAAGTACAGAGAACCCTCAAAGAACTCAAGCTAGACCTCCCATTTGATCCTGTAATCCCAATACTGGGTGTCTACCCAGAAAGGAAAAAAAATCCTTTTATCATAAGGACACTTGCACTAGACTGTTTATTGCAGCTCAATTTACAGTTGCCAAAATGTGGAAACAGCCTAAATGCCCACTAACCTAGGAATGGATTAATAAGCTGTGATATATGTATACTATGGAATACTGTTCAGCCATTAAAAAGGATAAGAGACTTTGCTTCTTTTGTATTAACCTGGATGAAAGTGGAACACATTACTCTTAGTGAAGCATCACAAGAATGGAGAAGCAAGAATCCCATGTATTCAGTTCTGATATCAGGACAATTAATGACCTAGTTCACGGTGTGGGAAGGGAAGAGTAGAGAGACGGGAGAGGTGGGGGGGTCACAGTGTGTGACACACCTTTTGGAGTCAGGACACAATTATAAGAGGGACTTTACCTACCCCCCCCCAAAAAAAAAGGTAAAATGGTGAAAAAGTGCAGACACACTTTTAGGAGAAATTTCATCATTTAGCTTGTGAGCAATGTGAGGAACAGAAATTCAAGAAAGAAGGGAAGACCATCATCTTTTGATACTGAGGAAAGGCTAAATGGGAAGATGCATATATAATGCAAAATGAAAAAAAATCAATAAAGGATTGCATGGTTTGCAGCAGAAGAAATGAGACAGGTGGAAGGAGAGAAACCATTTTCTACTGTGAGACATGCGAGAGGAAGCCTGGACTTCTCATTCTGGAGATTGCTTTAAGAAGTATCACACTCAAAAACGTTATAAACTAAAATAAAAACACTTCAATTATTTTATGTAACTAAATAGATAAATAATCATGAAGTGAGTTCAGATTTATGTTATTCTCTTTTGCAACTGTAGGATAATTACAAATAACCAACCTCTTTCTCATCCTTTCAATAAGAGCTGGGGAGTATGCGGGTGCACAAAGATTGAATTTGAAAAGATTAAAACCCAGGTAAAATGCTGGCAATGATAATGACAATGTTCCAGTGTTAGATAAGTCAGTAGGGTTTCCTAAGGTTGATATCGTGCTTTGTCATTCTTTGTTCCCTTTCCAAATTTAATTTTCACTATTCTTCATATGCCCTACGTCCAAGAAAAAGGTACAACTTGTTCTTGCCTAAAGGTCCCCTCACTTTCCTATACCCATGCCTTTGCTCATGTTTTACCTGCTGGTTGAAAGATGAATAACCATCTCTAAATACTATCTTTCACAGTTCATTTTAAATTCCAATTTTATTAATGTAGATTGGCCAAGAATATAGTACACATTCAATGCCTGTGTACTTATTTGTACGAATATGCTACTGTCTTTATATTATTAAATACAAATAATTAAAAACTGAAAGTATAGCTGTGCATTCCAATTTCATATGATATTGGCTGCCATACATAATATATATATTGAAAATTGTTATATACTAGAATCTATTGCATAGAAAACTAAATCATAATTTTTTATAAGTAGATGCTTATTTCATTGTCTCTTAAAATGATGTTCCATCAGCAAGGGCTTTTTATTTGTTCCATTGTGTGTGTGTATGTGGTGTATATGTGTATACAAATACATATATAAAATATATGAGATATGTATATCATTTATGTAGCTACTGTTAGTGGGATTATTACATATAATACGCAATATATACTGATAACGTTTGTTATATAGTATATTGTGTCTTACATCTCTTGTAATTGCAGAAGTCAAATGTGACTTGAATATTACAATTTTAATAGTTTTTCCTTTCTTAAAATGTGTATACATTTCTTTGGTGCCCTTTGTGTAAGAGTGTATGTGTTTATCACATTTTTGTTATCCAGTCATCCATTGAGGGGCATGTAGGTTGATTTTTTATTATTGTGATTTTGAATGGTGCTTCAAGAAACATATAAATGCATGTATCTTTTTTGATATGCTGATTTGTTTTCTTTTGGGCAGATAACCAGTAGAGGGATTGCTGGATCAAGCAGGAGTTCTATTTTTTAGTTCTTTGAGAAATCTCCACTGTTTTCCATTGAGGTTGTACTAATTTACCTTCCCACCAATAGTTCATAAGCATTCCCTTTTATTCACATCCTTGCCAACATCTGTTATTTTTTGTGTTTTTGGTAATACTACATAGCTATTCTGACTGGTATAAGATGATATTGTACTGTGGTTCTAATTTTGCATTTAGTGATTAGTGATGTTGATCATTTTTCATGTTTGTTGGCCGTTTTTATGCCGCCTTTTAAAAAATGTCTGTTCATGTCTTTAGCCCACTTTTTTTTTGGTTTTGAGACAGAGTCTCAGACTGTCACCCTAGGTAGAGTGCTGTGGTGTCACAGCTCACAGCAACCTCAAACTATTTGGCTTAAGGGAGTCTCTTGCCTCAGCCTCCCAAGTAGCTGGGACTACAGGTGCCCACCACAATACCTGGCTATTTGTTGTTGTTTTTGTTGTAATTGTCATTGTTGTTTTAGCTGTCCCGGGCCAGGTTTGAACTTGCCAGCATTGGTGTATGTGGTCAGGCCCCACACACCGAGCTATGGGCACCACCCTTTAGCCCACTTTCTAATGGGATTTTGTTGTTGAGTTGTTTGAGTTCCGTGTATATTCTGCATATTAGTCCATTGTCAGATGCCTACTTTCCAGGTATTTTCTCTCATCCTACAGGATGTCTTTCTGCTCATCTCTATTTCTTTTGCTGTCCAGAAGCTTTGCATTTTAAACCCCTTTAATCTATTTTTGGTATCGTTGCATTTGCTTTTGACATTTTTTAGTCATGAACTAAACAAGTTCATATATAAACAAGTTTTTTTTTTTAGTATTTTTATAATTACAGGTTTTATATTTCAGTCTTTAATCCAGCTTGAGTTATTTTTGGTATATGGTGAGAGATAAGGATCCGGTTTCCTTTTTTTCCATATAGTAATCCACTCACTCTCCCCCACCCCCCACATTGTTTATCATAGGTTGTCCTTTCTTGTCAACTTTGTCATAGATCACGGAGCCTTATTTCCGGATTCTTTATTGTGTTCCATTGATCTATGTGTCTGTTTTTATGCCAGGACTATGCCATTTTGGTTAATATACTTCTGTAGTATAATGTGGAGTCAGGTAATATGATTCCAGCTATGTTCTTTTTGCTTAGGATTGCATTGGCTTTGGTTCCATGTGAAATTTAGGATTATTCTTTTCTAAATCTGAAAAATGACATTGGTATTTTGATAGAAATTATATTGAATCTGTAGATTGCTTTGGCCATACTTATGGCCATTTTTAACAACATTGAGTCTTCTGATCTAGGAGGATGGGATGTTTTTCCATTTGTGTCTTATAATATCTTTCATCAGTGTTTCATAGTTTTTCTTGTAGAAATCCTCAACCTCCTTGGTTAAATATATTCCTAGGGTGTTTTTGTTGTTGTTGTTTGTTTGTTGACAGAGCCTTGATCTGTCAACTTGGCTAGAGTGCAGTGGCATTATAGCTCCTTGCAACCTTAAGCTCTTGGAAGTGATCCCCCTGCCTCAGCCTTCTAAGGAGCTGGGTCTACAGGTGTGCACTACCATGCCCAGCTAATTTTTTCTATTTTAGTTGAGATAGGGTCTCACTCTTGCTCAAGATGGTCTCAAACTCCTGACCTCAAGAGATCCTCCTACTTTGGCCTCCTAAAGTACTGGGATTACAGGTGGGAGCCACTGTGTCTGGGCTTTTGGTAGCTATTGTCATGGGATTGACTTCTTGATTTGGTTCTCAGCTTGGTCGTTAATTGGTACACAGAAAGAACACTGATTTTCTTATGTTTATTTTGTATCCTGAAACTTTACTGAATTCATTTATCAAATCTAGGAGTATTTTGAAGAAGTCTTTGGGGGCTTTCTAGGTATAAGATCATACTGTTGCTAGAGATACTTTGGCTTCTTTTTTTAAAATTTGAATTCCTTTTATTCCTTTCTCTTGCTTGTTTCCTCTGGCTAGGACTTCCAGTATTATGTTGAAGAGTGGTGAAAGTAGGCATCTTTGTCTTGTTCTAGTTTTTAGGGAGAATGCTGTTTAACTCTTCAGTAGGATGATGTTCAGTATGATGTTGGCTGTAGGCTTTTTATAGGGCTTTTATTATTTTGAGGTATATTCCTTCTATGCCTAGTTTGTTATCATAAAGGGCTGAATTTCATCAAATGCTTTTTTAGTGGTTTTATTTATTTTTAATTCAGTTTATGAGGTGAATTACATTTATTGATTCACATATGTTGAACCATCCAAAAATTCAACATTTTAGGTCTAGAATTAAGTTTGGAGTAATCATGCTTGTGGCATGATTAGTTGTAAATCTCCAACTAGAACTTGCCAGTTTCAGTGTGATATTTGGAATTTTTGATGTAAAATGATATTTCTCTATATAATCTTTAAGGTATCTTAGTTCTAGCATTCTAAAATAGTTCTTTCTTGGATTATTATAAATCATTGTGACTGGTTTTTGTTGTTTGTTTGTTTGTTTGTTTTAGGAGCCCCCACGCCCCGTGCACCCAGCACCCTTACCAGAAGCCCCACAGCCACAGCGTCTGCCCCCAGAAGCTGCCAGCACATCTCTGCCTCAGAAGCCACACTTGAAGTTAGCAAGAGTTCAGAGTCAAAACGGCATAGTACTGTCATGGAGTGTCCTAGAGGTAGATCGAAGCTGTGCCACTGTTGATAGCTACCATCTCTATGCTTACCATGAGGAACCCAGTGCCACTGTACCCTCACAATGGAAAAAGATTGGGGAAGTAAAGGCACTTCCCTTGCCTATGGCATGTACTCTCACTCAGTTTGTATCAGGCAGCAAGTACTACTTTGCAGTGCGAGCCAAGGATATTTATGGACGTTTTGGACCTTTCTGTGATCCTCAGTCTACAGATGTGATCTCTTCTTCCCAGAGCAGTTAAACCTTGAAGCCTTTATCTCTTCCTCTTTTAAAAGTTCCACTTTTGGTCTTGTTTTTAATCTTGTGCATGATATTCAATGTAAAATTCACATCGTGCAAGATTTCTTGGACAGGTGTGTGTATACACTACATTTGTTTATAACAAGAAGTAACATAAACTCAGCCCACAAAGCAAGAAATTTTTCCTGAACAATTTAAGCTTCAGGGTTTTGAAATGTAAATGTTTACCTTATTTTACTTTTGAGGCTGGGGAATATGTGTGGGTGTTTGTGTGGTTTTTCCCTATTTATGTGTTATTGCATTGGAATCTCCCAGTTTTATTCTCAAATTTATCTCTTTCCGTATGAAGTTCATCAAAGGATATAAGATATATAACTGGCATGATTCTGCTTCTAAGGGATCTGTAAGATCATAGTTAAGTGATTTAAACTGAACCTAAACAATACCCAAAGAAATAAAAAGCAAAATGGCTAGGTAGTTTAAAATAGGTTAGTTTGAACACAGGAAAGGATTTATTCATCTTTTGTTTCTTCTTTTGGCTTGTCAGTTAGGTGAAAAAAAAAATCTGCAATGGCTCCCTCACTTTCTAATCTGGCTTTTACATTTATTTTGTGCCTTAAAAATTAACTGCAAAAATAAACATGGTCATATGTTCGTTGTTGTTTACTCTTCCCTTTTAGCATTTCACTGTTTCCCTACCATAGCACACCCCCAAGTAATTTTTCGACAGAGGCATGCATATATTCATACATACATATCTATGTGATATGTATGTATATACGTATATATATACATTTTTTCCATCTGTGGCATCATTACACTTAACTCCAAAAATTTGACTTCCTATTTTCTTCTAAGAATATAGATGCTTTTATTTTTAGTCACTATAAATGACTGTATAAACTGGACCAAGAGAAAACCACCTTGTGTAAGAAAATTTTCCTTTAAATATGTTTTAGTATTCATGTTGCACACTGTTAGAGACTGTGAAAGCAATTGTATTTGATTTAATCACCCAAAACGAATTCCTTAGTATTCATTCAAAGGAAGTAAATTATAAAATTCACAAAATAGAGTGAGCTAGAAGATCAAGGAGAAAGCTTCATTTCTTCTTTACTCTCACATCATCCTTCCTGTTTTAACCTTTAACTTTGTTTTTCATGGTGCCAAGTTGAGTCTGATTTAGGCTTTGTCTGCTTTGGATTGAATTTAAAGTCTGTTCTCACAGTCATTTTATGTAACAATCAGATACAAGTTCCTGTGTATCTCCATTTCTCTTCAAAGTTAATAAAAGTCAGCTTAGGTCATGGATTTTCAATATGAGGACCAGCAACACTGGTGTCAGGTGTTCTGAGTGTAGATAGTTTAGGTCTGGAGGGCTGGGGCTGCATTGTTTTAGGAATGAGGACATGATTGGAAATATTTTGAAAGGAATTCATGGAGTTTGTGAAACTTTCTAGTTATCTTCTCTTATAATACTTCCTTCTCAAAATAATTATTTATTTTCTTAGAATTGCTAGAGAGAGCTTTTCCCTTTTGTTATATGCCATTTTGGCATATAATAGGAAGTATTCTAGTTGTCAGAAACTCTTTTTAGAGACTTTTCTGCTGTACTGTCATCTTAGGTTTGAATGGTGTTGAATAAAGCCTACAGACTGCCATAATGTAAATGATCCAAATCTTTCTTTCACTCTCAGAAAATGAAACCACAATGAGAATTAGTTTTCCGTGAGTCAATTTTTTTCTTTTTTCTTTCTTTCTTTTTTTTGACAGTTTCATTTTGTCACCCTTGGTAGAATGCCGTGGTGTCATAGCTCACAGCAATCTCAAACTCCTGGGCGTAAGCAATTCTCTTGCCTCAGCTTCCCAAGTAGCTAGGGCTATAGGCACCTGCCACAATGCCTGGCTATTTTTTTTGCCCGTCTATTTTTAGAGACGAGGTCTCACTCTGACTCAGGCTTGTCTCAAACCTGTGAGCTCAGGCAATCCACCCACCTCAGCTTCCCAAGTGCTGGTATTATAGGCGTGAATCACAGCACCCAGCCCCTGAATCACATTTTCTAATCAACTATGTCCATATTACTCATTTTAGGACTAATGTTGATGGTGAAGAAGTTGCCAATGTCACATAAGTGAACATTTCACAAGGAAGGAATCAGTAATTTTCTCTGTATGAACACCTGTGTAAATCTGCATGTGTATATATATATGTTTTTACTTGCAGTAGTTCAGTTTTATGTATTCAGGGTTATTCCTGTCCACAGAATTGAAGCCCCATGTTCAAGTGATTCTTTATTGGCTCTTTTATGGCTACATGCTAACATTTTACTTAGCTAGCTTATAAAGTTTCCCTTGGTAAACATCTTTATTCATATTTACTAATCTTTTCTGAAAAGCTTTCATAGCATCATATAATCAGGTGAAGAATGCCCAGTATAAGGAAAATATTTCTTTTAGTCTATATTATATTTTCTGTCAAAGGAAGAAAGATAAAGTCTCAAATCATAACCCCCAAAAAAGATTTTATACTACAGTAAAATAATTACTTAAAATATCTTATTTCAGATGGTAGAAGGAAGGTACAAAGAGAGATTATAAATACTTAAGGAAAAATTATAAGATGATCTCCTCACCTTAGCCTGCTGTGGGACTTACGGACACCAGCTGTACTGGATTTAGCGAACATGTTAGGTTTGAATGCTAGGCTTTCATTTGGAGCAGGTTTGAATATTGATGAATGCTGACTTTTTGTTTGGTTGTTTCTTTGGCAACAGAGGATGGAGGACTTAACTAGAAATAGCTCCTGATAAGAGATGTTTTAGTAGCAGTTTACACTCCATGGTTACCTTTTAAAAAATTTTATGTTATCTTTTCACAAAGTCTTACAACTATGCTTGATTATCCCATTTTGGGAATGCACGTTTGCTACATTTTGTCTGACAATACTAAGGTATTGCCTTATTGAAATTCCTGGAAATCTCTGATATTTTAATCTGAAATGTAGAATATTTATGTGACATTTAATGGTAAGGGTGTTACTTTGCACTTTGTCAGAATAATTTTCACCCTGTTTTAAGTGTAAGCCTCTTTTAAATCGTGTTCTGGCCAGGCAATTTATAAATTTCCATACAAAGACAACATGTTTTGTTAACAGTTAACTTTATGAGGTAACTATATCTCTCTATTTCTCTGGACTCATTTTTTTAAATATGCAGAGTACTGTGTACTATTTAACATAGTATATAAGTTTATGAGAAAAATAGAGAACTTTCTTCCTTGAAAAGTAAAAATTTATTGAGATACCATTTGCCTCACAGAGAGGTATTCCTCACTACCCTATCCCCACTGGCAGATAATAAATATTTTGAAAAAAATGACCTTAAACCAAGAGATTATAATCTTGGATGCATCTGTCTATAGAACTCCTAGGCAGGCTGTACCTTACAGTTCTTTTACTGTGTTGGATAAGTGTTAACTTAGTTTTTCTTTTACTTTAAATATTCTCCAGATTCTCATTTATGCATCAAGGTTAAGTGTTAATATTGCATGATATGCATTTATCTTGTTCCATGAGCTTTCCAGTACCGTACAAGGTCAGCAAAAGTAATGCCTCATCTCTTCACTTTTATGTACTGTGATCTTAGCACAGTAGGGTACTGCAGAGACCTTCCAAGTGTTCTCCTTGACTTTCCTTCTTGGGCCATTTCAGTATCCTATGATTTTTTGTGTGTGTTATTTTATCACTGATCTGTGGTTGGCCTGTTTTATTCTAATTTCTGGAAAAGCCATGTCCCAGTATTAGGATACTGTACTGCAGATAAGTCTGTCTAAAACCAGTGTACGATCTACCTTCCTTACTATTCACTGGACAGATGCCTTTTTTCTCTTTTAGGTTTGGGGAACACACACAAATCAGAGTAATTCTTGTGAGGTGTTTATTAGCATGGCAGGTTTATCTAATTCATAAAACTCATTCATCCCTTTGAGCCAGCCAATGAGGAAGAGTAAAATTATATAAATAGGTTTTGTCTTCTTGTCTTCAAATAATTTTATCATGTTGAAATAAGTTTTCTTTAGTTTTTTATTTGTAGAGGCAGCTAAGTACTCATTTATATTTAAGCGCTGTCTTTTTTTGTTTGTTTCGGCAAATAAGGTAACTGGGCAATCAAACACCTTTGGGAATCCTGGCTTTAGTATTTTCTCAACCAACCATTTCAAAATTAAATATAAAAGTAAATCCTTTGTAGGAAATTTGCACCCTGATTTTTGTTTATTGCAGTTCAAGTGTAAATAATAAGGCAATGTAAGACCTTCCTAATGTCTAATATAAACTGGGCTATAGCAGGTTGCCCTATTTTTATTACGTTTTGAAGGTTTTTGTGGGGGGGGGTTCTTTCTTTTTTAAATGTACAGTAGAGTGATGTCTGTATAAGTGTTAACTGTAGTGGAGTTTTGTCCAGCAAGCCTGAAATTTATACTTTGAAATAAAACTACTGGATTTATAACATTCTGAGTACTCTGATTCATTCTGAATATTCATGGCCCTTGTGTTTTTTTTATTTGAGAATCTCCCAGCTTGTTTAGAATCACCCATGATAGGTGCTGGGAAGGTGGTGCCCCGGGAGAGGACATGGAAGCTCTGCACCACTTTCCCACACAACTTTCCCTGTGCTTCTCTTCTTTTGATGATCCTGAGTTGTAGCCTTTATAATAAACTAGTAAATGTAAGTAAAAAAATAAAAAGAAAAAGAATCACCCATTATACTGTATAATTCCATGGCTTTCAAACCACATATAACTCTCTGGCTTTGAAAGAAAGTTGCTAGGCAGAATTTTTGATAGATTGGATGGGTACTTTTAGCTAATGGGAGACAACAGTGAAGTTGACTGTATTATGTGCCTGGCCTGTATCACACAAAGACTCAACTGCTAAGAGATTCCTTTGAAAACAGCTCCCATCCTCTAAGGCTTTATTATTAGTATGTATCCCCAGGGTAAGGGGGAAGAGCACAGAGCGGTGCAAGTTCTTATGGGGTGGGGCCTGGATGTGTCACTTAATTCAGGTTCCATTGCCTAGAACTGTCACATGGCACAACTACCTAAGGGATGCTGGGATATGTGGTTAGTATGTACAAGCTTAAAAAGAGAATATGGATTTTGGTGAATAAAGGAGCAGTTTCTGCTATACCCTTTTGTATATTAGCTTGTATGTTAAAGCCTAGGTACTTCTGTTCATCATACATGATATTTCTTCTATAGTGCTACACCCATAGTGAATACTTTCTGTTAAAATCAGTGGAAAATGAAAGAGACAAATGGATTTATTATATTAAGAGTATTTCTAATGGAAAAAACATAGCTTTGGTATTTTACTTGCAGCCTTAATCCCCTTCTATTCCCTTATCTCCCTCCCTCATTTTATGTCAAGTTTCAAAACTGGCTTCATGGTAATAAAATCAAAGTTATAAGCCTCTGGCATGCCATGATGGAGAGTTTTGTTGAAACGGTGCCAGTGAAAAACAGGGAGGCCGCCTTGTACTGTGGGACCACTAATGGCATAGGCTGTGTACTGAGATGCTAGGTAGATATCTGCCACCTGGAAAAAGAGAAGAGTGGGACATTTTAGAAAATCATTTGGAAAAATACTTGACTAAATCCATGACTGCCCCCTCCTCCCCTTTCTCTTTCCCAAGTCACAATATTAAGCCTCTTTAAAAAGAATTTTTTTTTTTTGCAAGCTTCCACATATCTTTACAAGTTACCTTTGTGTCATAACACCCTCCGGGACTTGGGTTAGGTGCATTCAGGTCCTCACGGCAACAGATGGTATTGCAGGGATCACCCTTACTGTAAGGATCTTGCTTGTAATCTAAGAAACAGTGATGGGAAAATAGTGATTATTGGCTATTCTACAACACACTTATTCACAGCAAGGTTTTTGGACTCATTAAAGCATAGATAATCAGGAAGTGTACCCCCACCAGCCTCCTCAGCCCAGCCTGCTTCCAGATACAGACGTCTGTCTTGGCTTGTTAGGAAGGAGCCACTGCAAGTCCTGTGCCCCAGGGCCCAGCCTGCCCTCAGGAACCTTGCACAGTGAAGAGTGGATGTTTCCAACAAAAAAAATAACAAATTTGACTTTGATGTTGTTCATCAAAAACAAAGCATTATTTATGGATAATTTCTGATTTATTTGCTGCCTTTATCCTTGGAAGGAAACCTGTGTAATTGGGGCGGGGGGAGGGTGTGCCTCTAGATCATTTCTTCTGTGTTTTACAGGTAATTTTTTCAATTAAAAAATCCATAAACGTTTCTCTGTCATTTTATAAAGGAGGCCAAAATTGTACTTGTCCAGTATAAGATATGTATTAGTTGAATACTAAATACTTAATTCCAGTAACTTCTTATAATGCCTTCTAGTACAGAGATGATAAACTTACATGGATTCTTTATCCATGGGGAAGAAAAGGAGTTTTGAAGAATGATTCTTGAGAAATGTGCTACGTACTGTTGTATCGCATGATATATTTCATAGATGCCATATCAGTCACTTTCCCTTGGTCACGCCGGAAGATTTTGGCTCGTGGAGCTAAATCATAAGAGTAGTCCAAACCCAACTTCTGAACTAACAATGGATAGCCACTCCAGTTGTAGATTTTTTCATGGAAAGGTATGTTGTAGGAGGGCCAATATCCTGATTTGGAATGAAAGGCAAAGAGGGGAGAGATTGGTAGGATGGGAGGCAGAAAAGAGAGGAAACAAAGAAGTTAAGGATGATATTTTAATTTCAAAATTGGCACAGGTGTTTAATTACAAAGTGATTATCTAGAAAATAAAGCTTTGAATGTGAACCCTGACAGTCAAACTAAGCATTTTAAATTTCCTGAATTGGTATACTTCTAAGGTTATTTCTTTTTTGAAAAAATTTTATTTATTTATTTATTTATTTATTTATTTAGAGTCTCACTATGTCGTCCTCGGTAGAGCACAATGGCATCACAGCTCACAATAACCTCCAACTCTTGGGCTTAAGCGATTCTCTTGCCTCAGCCTCCCAAGTAACTAGGACTATAGGTGCCTGCCACAACACCTAGCTATTTTTTGTTGCAGTTGTCGTCGTTTTAGCAGGCCTGGGCCAGGTTAGAACCCTCCAGCCTTAGCATATGTGGCTGGTGCCATAACCACTGAGCTACAGGCACCGAGCCTACTTCTTGGTTATTTCACTAGGGAAAGAAGAGCAATAGAATTCTTTGATTTTTACCCCAAATTCTTAAAACATTTTGCAAACCAGAAAATAGCTTTATTTTCTATACAGCAAAATCAAGTATGATGCAAAGCAGTCTGGGGACCTCACTAAGTGGATTTGGTTACTGAAAACGCCAAAAGATAGCCCACACTGTGGCCCTAAAAAAGGAAGGTGCCGGGTACTGATCTTGGGATAATGGAACAACACAGCACTGGGAATCCAGAAGACCTAACTTCTCGGCTAAGGGCTAAATAACTAGGTTGTAGGCAGGTTACCTCATCCTCCTCCCCCACTTTGTGAAGGGATGGGGTGGGGAAATCCGCAGTGTCAGAGGCTTGGGAATGATCTCAATGGTTCTAGTAGGTTTAACTGCTTACACTCTTAAAGCATTTATAAAGGCTCAGTTTCATTCAGAGCCTCATGGTGTGCCAAGGCCACACAGCCCAGCAGCCACTAAACAAACACGAGACACAGCTCTAGTAAAAGCAGCATTCCAGATAATCTGGAAATATCCCAGATTACATAAGCCTGAGTTATTGCCTGTATAGTCAGTCAACATAGGGATATCTCCGCCATTCAGGGAATGACATCCCACCTCCACACTCTTCTCCTGGCCTTTGTCTGGCTTCCTCCTTTTTACTGCTTCTCTTACTCAGGGTGAGGTTATTGAGGGGAAAAAAGCAAATCACAAGACTTTCCACCTTGCTAGTTCTGGGACACAGAGCCAGAACTGTGGAAGAATTGAGATAAGAATGACATTGAAATTATGGTGTTAAAAACAAATTTGTTGCTAAAACACACCTAGGTTATATGGACTTGAGAATTATGACTGCCTGGATTTGAAGCCTGGTTATTATTAGGTATGTGACCTTAGACAAATTACTTAACCTCTCTGTGCCTTAGTTTCTTCATTTTTATAATGTGAGGAATGGCAGTACTTACTTTACAAGGACTATTGTGAACAGTAAATGAGTACAATCAGATGGGTTCTTATGACAGTGTCTAACAGTTGGTGAACATTAGATGAGTATTAACTATTATATTTTATTTCATGAGAACGGCTCAAATGATTAATAAAAATGGCTGCTTTATAGATCGCATTTTCATGGAGCTTCATGATTTATAAAATATAGCAACTTGTTTAATTTCACAGCAACCTGATAATGTGTATTATCTATCATTCCTCCTTTTAAAAAAAGAAACAGAATTTCAAAGAGGTTAAATGCCTTCATTGACTCACAAAACTTGGTGAGACACTGAATACAAACACAAGCCTTCTGACTAAAGACATCAAAGGCTTTCATCACTGTATCTCAGCTGCTTCCAAATGCTAGGAGATTTGGGGGGACTTTTTAAAAAAATGGCTACATGACATCAGTTATTTATTTGGGAAAAACACACATTTCTTTCTGAGTCTTTCTCTCCTCACGGTAAAATAGTAACAATATAACTTATTTGATAGTGTATTAAATGGGATATGAAACGAGAACAGAAGTAAAGTTCCAGAAGAGTGTCTAGAATACAGTAGATACTAGATACTCAATGAATTTAATTCTCTGTTCATCTTCTGGCAAAAAAAAAAAAAAAAATTAAAGATCCCAATAAAATACAGACAGATTAGCTCTTTTTAATCTTAAAGTAGTTTCATGGATCTAGGAATGGAATTGCAAAGAACCTAAAGCCACAATTCTGTTATCAGTGACAGTCCCAAGAAGAAAAGCCTAGCAAACGTCTTTCATGAAGCACTATTATCAAGCTCTGAGGAGCTGGAAGCACAGCTAGACCCTCAGTTTTGAATTGTGCTAATCAAGCAACCACCTACTAATGTGGCTTTTTTTCCTTCAAGAAAAGAAAAGTAGGTTTGCGGCTTGGCAGTACATGAACTGCTCAGCAGTTGAAACTTCCACAATAAAAAATTCTGTTTTATGCTTAAGTCTTATGTGCATTTAGTTCGTGTGAGCTATTCTCCATTGAGATGGGCCACCCCAGGTGTCAGTACAAAACCGATTTGGCAAGCTGGGAAACTAAGGACCAGGATCAGATCCCTAGAACCCACACTTTTCTCTTGATTCTGTTCCTACTTATCTATCACCTGATCTATTACAATAATCTTAACTATTCTTCTTCTTCTCTACCTCCAATTTATTCTCTCTTGTGAATAACTCCCATTTTCTAAAGGATAAAGGCTAAATCACTTAGGAGGATTTTTAAGGCTGACATTTTCTCTTACCACTTACCCCCAGGTAATTCTCAAGACCACCCCATGAAATTGTAAAGGTCCACACTCCCACGTCCAAAAGTTCTTGGGGGTCCAGATGAGTTTCAGTATTTAGGGTTTCTTAGATTTTGGAACAGCAATGGGATGCATATATTATATAACACTACACTCTTAGGGGAACACCTCATAATAAAAGATACTGATATTTCTGTAGCCTAAAGTATAACTGGCCTAAGAAGAAATAAAGAATAAAAAGATACTGGTAGGTTTGTGGGCATTTTTGCTGTCAACTGAGCTAGGAAGGATCAAAACAAGACAAAAATGTTTGGTTTTAGAGTTTTAGGATTTCAAAATTACAAATAAGTGATTCTGGACCTGCACCATGAATGTTCTGTTTTACAGATGAAGAAAGTGAGACTTGGAGAGATTGGGTAATTTGCCTGAGATGTTTAAGGAGTTGTGATTTGAATCAAGGCAGTGAAACTTCTGGCTTCCAATGTCTGGACTATGTCCTTAACTCTAGAACGGCCTTCTCCAATCCCTGCCACTAACAATGCTGCCCTCTCTAGTCTCACCACCCTGCTTGTTGTGCCCAGCCTTATTACGGCTCTTCCCATCTTGGGTTCTAAAGGCTGCTTTGCTTCCCTACTGAGCTCTAGAGGGTAGGGATTTTGTGTCCTTGCTTTGCCAACCCCCAGGCCAGAGTATCACTCCATAAGTATTGTGTTGAACCTAAATTTTTATCCCATGAGAAGTCACAGAGTCATGAATGCCTGACTTGTGTCCTAATCTGCACATTGTCTCATTAAGAGTTTAGGACGTAGATTTAATGCCATGCTAAATCTGGTAATTCTTTGCAGTGTAACTAGCTGTGGCATTCCCATCTTTCTACCCCAACCATATACTCACAAAACATGCATTCCCCTGCTGTGTATACACACACACATTAGTCCTCTTGACTTATGGCATGAAGAAAGTACCTTTCCGGAGCACATCAGTTTGTTCAGAATATTCTACATACGAAGGAATTTGCTCCACAATGTACAGAGTGCCTTTGCCAAGGCTGTGGTTCAGCTTTACCCTCTTCAGGTCCAGGACCATGTACTGATTGTTATAGGTGCCTGAAATATCAGGAGACACGAAGGCAGGACATGGCTATGGTTTTACTGGTTAACAAGCCTAAATGTCAACATATGTTCATGCTGAAAAGTTATTCTGCAGAATAACTTACCAGAGTTGTGTCTTGAAAAGATCTCTGCCCACGTCTGACCATCATCTGCCATCATATTGGCCACACGGACCCTTTGCCAGGCCAGAAGAGACCGAGGTGTCACCTCCTTTAATAAGGTTTTATTATACACACTGTTTGTGGTCTGCAGCAATATCAAACCACTGCTAAGAATGTAAAAGTCATCCAAAGACTCCAGAAACCCTACAGGAAAGACAAATACACACAAAAGCATATGTATGCATGGTATATTGGCCTGTCATTTTTAGCACATAGCATCACACACACAATGTGTTTCGCAGAGAGTATCAGTTGTACCCTTCCTTTATCTGCAATAGCCTCTCCCCACTTTGGCTCACCTCTGTGCTAGCTACCCATGCATTGCTTATACACATGCCAGGAGACCTCCACTCTTGAATTCTCCACTAAAAATTTTTTATTTTATGATTTGGGATGACAAAATATCTCAAATCAGGAATGTGCCAAGTTTTCAAAAATGATAAACAGAAATAGATCCCCACTTGCTAGGATTTTATAGGAGAACTTTTAATTAGGGAGGATATCAGAATATATTTGTTGTTGGACAGTAAGACGATTGTTGCCTTTATTCATCTCCATCTACTTTTCTATATTTTTCCAATTTCATATGAGTCTACATAGTTTTAAACATGGAAAAACACCTACATTTATAAAAGCAAACATGGTTCTGAAACTAGGACATCGATGATCTGGGTCAATGTCTTTATTAATGTTGGAGGCAACAAGGGAAAATCAATGAAGCCATAGTTTTCCGAAGGCCTATTTTGTGGTTTATATTGGAATGCATATCCAGTGGACAGAATATCAGACACGGCTATAATAGTAATAGAGCATATATTGTCATCAGTGACTAATAGTAATCGGCAAACTCTCAGTGGTAAAGAAATGTCAGAAAGGAACCCACTGGGAGAATTAGAAAGGACAAGAGTATAAACTTCTCTGGGTGTATCCCTATGAATGGAATCAATACTCTTACAAAGAAGCCTGAGGGTAGCTATCCCTTTTCACTATGTGAAATCACAGCAAAAAGGCTTTTTTTTTTTTTTGCAGTTTTTGGCCAGGGCCAGGTTTGAACCCGCCACCTCTAGTGTATGGGGCCTACTCCTTTGAGCCACAGGTGCCGCCCAAGGCCTTTTTTTTTTTTTAAAGACAAAATCTCATTCTGTCACCCAAGTTGGAGTGCAGTGGTGTAATCATAGCCCACTGCAGCCTCGAATTCCTGGGCTTAAGTGATCCTCCTGCTGCTTGAGTAGCTAGGACCAAAGGTGCATGCCACCACACCCAGCTAAGTTTTAATTTTTAACTTTTTTTGTAGAGATGGGCATCTCACTACATTGCTCAGGCTAGTCTTGAACTCCAGGCATAAGCAATCTTCCTGCCTTGGCCTCCCAAATTGTTAGGATTACAGGCATGAACCACCGTGCCTGGTCTCTTATACCACTTCTATCATTTGTGCCATATCTATCTAAAATTACTGTTTACTTAATATTTTTATTTATAATTGGTAAGAGAAATAGCATATATTTATGGTATCCAATATGATATTTTGATATATGTACACACACATTTATGTGGAATAGCTAAATGAAGCTATTTAATGTATGCATTATTTAATTTTCCTTAATATTCCCTTTTGTACTTAAAATACTTAGTCTTTTCACATACAATAATGTCTAAGGAAACATGAGTTCAGTGTTTTCGGTTTTTTCCCCAAAATACAACAAATGCATTTCCACTAATGTGCAAAACTGTCCAGATACCACATAAAATCACCTCACCAGCACTATGCACTCTGTGGCAGGTCTACTCCAGGCCTGATGTGGAATAGGACAAGTGAGGTCAGATAAAGGGGTCACTTGAAGCTAAAGATAAGGCTTCGTAACATGGATTGGCAGTCAGAGGGCCTGTATTCTAGTTCCCTGCATTGACTGTGATGAATTTGATAATTGTCATTTTGCCTCCCTGTTCCTTATTTCCTTCCTCTGATAACCTGGGATGAAGTGATGTCATCCAGCTCCAACAATCTAATTTCTTGAAGTTTCTAACTGGGAACATGATGAGAGGAGTGTCCAAATAACTCCATATTAGGCCACCATTAAGCTCTCCATAGGTTTATGTCAATTAGAGAAAGTTGCGCACTCCAAGTGTTACAAAGCCTGATGGCACCTTTGAATGAAATTTTAAGAGAAAGCACAGCCTGGACATGGGGTATGTGGCTTGACAGAGTGTGGAATGGATTTCAGTGACCATTCATTCATCTTTGGGGCTGAGGTGACAGTACTTGGCAAGTCTTGGGCAAGCTCCTTGGTAGAAAAATCCTTTCAGGGGAGAATGCTATGTTTCTGCAATGGTTCAGTTTGCTAAGTCACTCTTTGCTGTAGTTGCTTCTCTGGACACAAGAGGGCAGGCGTTCTTTAGTAAGTGAATGAATAATACAGGTAACTAATAAGGAGTGATCTTTCTTTTAAGAGCAAGACTCTTTATGAAAGAGATTGGAAGATGAAAAAATATAGCTCACTCCGAGTTCTGGCATAAAGAAAATAAACTGGCCTGAAAATATCATAGTCAACGAGACTAATTCTATTGTTTAAAGATAATGAAGAAAAGTCCCAGAGAGAGAACAAAGTTTAACATATTCTGACATATTGCCTTATAAAAGAAATGTTCTTTGACTGTGTAAAATTATATTCTTGCTCTCATCTGTCTGTTAGCAGCTTTGGAAGGCAGATTGTTTGAGATCAGGACAAAGTGACACATTCCAGTGTTTTGTGGACATCAGACTGCAAATAGTATCTCATAGTTAAGCTTCTTGCTGAATTTAAGAAAAAAAATGATTTGTTTAATAAATCATATTTTTCAATACTTAAAAAAAAAACCACTTGAATCACAAGAAAAACCAGTGACCACTACCCCAGATATCATTTTGACTTACTGCTTAGTAGAAAAGTTTACCCTTATTAGCTTACCAAGTGTATTTATAATATACCTGTTTGCACACTGCACGTGAACACATGCTCCAAAGCCCAGAGATGCAACCCAAACACACGCCTTTCTAGAAGAATAGAATCTGTGTTGACTGAGGATATAATTAATGTGCAATTCAGGGCCCATCGTACGGGTCATGACTATGAACATAGCCTTACTTTTCTTTATCCTTCCTTCTGGTCATAATCTCTACAGTGTGACTTTGCAGCATTTCCATCAAGGGTTGTCTGTCATCCTACCTCTTAATCTGGGCTGGACTTGGAACTTGCTTCAGCTGACAGAATATGCCAGGTCTGAGTTTAGGTCTCAAGAGACCTTGTACACATCTGCTGACTCTTGTAACCCTGTCTCTGCTCTGTAAATGAGCCCAATCTGGCCTGGTCTCTAAGATAAGAGACCACATGAGGAAGGACCCAGTCATCTCAGTCAACCCCAAATGTGTGAGAGAGTTCATCCAAGGTCAGCAGAGCTATCTACCCAATCCATAGCCAACCACACACACTGAGACGTGTAGAAAGAACCACTTAGCTGAGCTGTGGACTTAAAAAGCAATAATCATCTCATATTGCTTTCAGCTATAAAGTTTTGGGGGTTATATTTTATGCAGCCATAGCCAGCTAATACAGCAGTAGTAATTCAATTGTCCTATGGGTTTTGCTCTGAAATGTCTGGCTGCCATTTCATCTTAACACAGACGAATGTGACACTTAGGGAACTCTTCTTTCCTTTTTTTTTTTTTTTTTTTTT